CTTCAATCTTTGGCTATGTCTTGGGCTACTCAAATATTTTACGTTTTTGATACTAAATTAACATCTGAAGTATAATTTTTTATTGTTTTTATATTTTTCAATATATTTATTTTGTTTGTACAAAATAAAAAAATAATTTTTAACGATACAATAGCCTTTGTTAGGCTTAACATCGACGAAAATTCAATGCGAAGCGACATGCAACGGAGAAAAATTTAAACTTCGGATACGTTAAACTATTTTTTCATACATAAATCGGTTATCCGAAATATCAGTTATACGAACAACCCCAGTCCCCAATTGATTCGGAAAATCGACGCTCTACTGTATTTACTAATTCATTATTTTGTGAAAAAATAAAAAATAATAATAATAATTAGATAAAAATCAAAGATAAATAAAACATATAACTAACACCTTATCTTTGCCCAGAAATATAATTTATTTCAAACAAATGTTTTCAGCCTGATTCACAGGCCATCTTCAGGTTGAGAACCAAATTTGAATTAACATTTGTTTGAAATAAATTATATTTCTCGGCAAGGATAAGGTGTTAGTTATATGTATAGTGATTTGCTGAGTACTTTATATGATGAATAAAACTATATTAAAATTTGAAATATAGTGCTTAACAAATACAGTATTGTTAATTTATGACTGATTAATCATTTCTTTAAGTTATATGCATTTCTGAACTGCCATCTGGAGACATTACTAGTATTAATCATTAAATTTAATCAATTGATTCTTAAAATTGATCAATAATAAAAGTTAATCTGAAGTCAGACTTTGTTTGCTAAGACTCTTGTGAATAAATTATTTTTCTACAATGAATAATAGTTTTATTTATAAAATAAATATTCTCTCTTATTTCTTGAAAATCATGGTTTAAATTGTTTTTTAATAATTTTTCTTAATATTTCTATAAGATCAGATTTTTAGTTAAGAAAAATTTGATAATAATTCCTTCTAATCCTTTTATTTATTAAACATAAAAATTTAAATAAATTACTTTATCATCAAAGTTTGAATTATAAAACTATATTTATATTCAGATGAATACTTTTATATTCAAATAAATAAATGTATAAACCATAAATTTTCCTTACTGATTGATTTTATTGTAAAAACATAGCTTTCAAACTATTATTATTATTATTTTTTCTTTTGTAAATATCTAATGTACTATGAACTATGATAAAAATATGATTTATAAATTACTTACTTCAAGTAATTCACCTAATCGTACATCAGTTTCTTGCTATAAGTATAACCATTTACCAAAATTAGTATATTAAAATATTATTTATTCTAAGTTTTCTTCCTTACTTATCATATAAAAATAAATTATTTCTAACATACTTTATATATTAGCAAAAATTATCAGAAAATTCTATAGATTAATTTCTAGATCATGTAGTTACACATCACATTACAATCCATATTTTGGTATCAGTTTCACTTAATTTGTATTCTATCTCCCCCATTATGCTACAATGAATTTTAAATATAGCATAGGTAAACACAATTTTAACAAAGCAGTAATCATCAATATATATTATAAAGGTAAGTGTACAATGTGCATGTTGCTAAAACTCAAAAATGAGTCCCGGTACGATCAAGGAAGTTATATGGTGTGGTAGCCCTCTATCTCCCATCCATGAAGAAGGTTCCCGTTTTTACCTGAAGGGCGTGCTGTTCAAGATATAAGGGCTGGAAGTTTCACCCTGTAGAAATTCTAGAACAGTCCAGAACATTCGAGAGTATTCGAGAGCATTCCACAACATTCCAGAATGTTCCGGGATGTACTGGAACGTTTGGGAACATCCCAGAACATTCCAGATCATTGTGGAACATTCCAGAACACTCTCAAATGTTGTGGAATGTTCTGGAACATTGTGGACTATTCGAAGCTTTTTTTGTATGGGTGGGACTACCCATTTGTGGGGGATATAAAGCAAGATCTGTAGTGGGTTTAAACTTCAGTTTCTTATCAGTGACGAAAGGAAAAACCAAAAAAGAAGTGAAAATTCCAAATGCAGTGAATGAATAAAAACAAACATGAAGTATGAGTAGTCAAAGTGATACAGTAACTGAATATAAATCGAAAATAAAGTGTGAAAACTATGTAAAGTGTACTTAGTGTATTTGTTAATAAAAAGTTGATTTGATTTATATTTTATACAATGCCCAAACTTAAAAGAGGAGGAGCTATTTTACAATCGTTTTTTATTTTTATAATATTTATTTTTTCTGTATATTTAGTTTTAATGCAAACATTTTTTACAATTCATTTTTTAAAATTATTGTTACATCGCAAAAAATCGAACTTGAATAAAACGGAAACTTGCTTGAACGGAAAAAATCTTTTAAATGTAACAATTTTCTATCTTAAGTTTTATATTCCTATAAGCCGGAAATGGGAGAGTATTTCGTGTATGAAGAATGTAATCTAAAAGAGGAAATTAACATTCCACTTGTGGACAAATAAGTATAATCGCCTTCAAATGTAACGATCATCACGGGGCATGACAAACTGTTTAAAGAGAGAGAGTTCGAAGCTTGTTAAAACCAATGAGAATTAGGTAACACAGTGCTGCCAATTTGCCTTGTGTGGATTGCGGAGTAGTTAGTAACTAACTAAATACTGTACTACCGAATATTCGAAAACAAGTTGATTACCATATTGATACGAGTAATTATAGTCATTGATGCAAACGATTAATTAAAGTATTAAAATTTCTCGAGAAGCTAGATCACAAAATAACTTATAAGGGGAGAGAGATCACGACATGCTCATTGCAGTTATCAATGACACTGTGTGGATAAATATTGATATGAAAATTTATCGAGCAAAGGGAGAAAGCACGCTTCTCAAATGTTTTCAAGAAAATCAATGTCAAAATATCTCGAGAATTATAACTAGCTTTGAGAAATCTCTTGCTAAAATTTCTGTAACTGTTCTGATTACTAATCGAGAAATCGCTGATTCAAGTCTCTAGGCTGAGTTTTTTATCATATTTATGTAATTTTTACATAAAAAATTGTGAATTTTATGGTTTACGTATATTTGTTTACTTTTTATTAAAAATGTTTATTTTCTATCCCTTGAAAATTCGTTCTCAGAATTGTTTTTAAAATTAAATTTAAAGTTTGTTTTTAAAAATGGAATAATTATTTACAGTCGACCCCCTATAACACTGTTATATTATTCCGTTTTATATGAATTCCATGTTGTACTAGTCACTTAGACTTTACAAATACGTGAGCCGTAACAGCCCGGCACACGTATTTGTAAAATGTAAGTGACTCGTACAACATGGAATTCATATAAAACGGAATAATCAACAGTGTTATAGGGGATCGACTGTAACAGTGTTAGTTGTACTTTATAGCTTTAGTTTATTTTTACTGTGTGCTTGATTTATTAACTAAGAAAACAGAAAATACTTGTGACGTAAACAATAAAAAAGCAGAGATGTGGCTTTGAAAGATGAGTGTTTACTGTCACACGTAACAATTCAATTTGATGTTGAGAGTTAGTTATGACTTAGATGTTTGACGTTTTCAGTAATTAAATAAACTTAAAATTTTTATAATGTAAAATTTTTAAATGAAAATACTTAAAATTTATGTTTAATGGACAGCAGTTCAGAAAACGAATTGCCAAAGAAGAGAAAAATACACATTTTAATAGAAAACAAATAGACGAAATGTATAAACGAGTGTAATCTACACGTATTTTAACGTGAAAAATGCATTGATTGAGAAGGAGAAAAGTTTACTCATACATAGGGCCGCAGGTAGCAACCGCGGGTCAATCATGAAATGCAGGACCCTTTAAAATATACATTATATAATTTTTACCACATGTTTATTAAAAAAATAAATAAAGACATTTCTTTCATATACGTATAAAAAACAATGGTAAATACTACACAGATTATGTAATCAATATATATTATAAAGGTAAGTGTACAATGTGCGTACCACTAAAACTCAAAAACGAGTGCCCGTACGATCAAGGGAGTTATATGGTGTGGTAGCCCTCCATCCCCATCTATGAAGAAGGTTCCCGTTTTTACCTGAAGGGCGTGCTGTTCAAGATATAAGGGCTGGAAATTTCGCCCTCTAGAAATTTCTAGAACAGTCCAGTACATTCGAGAGTTTTCCAAAGCATTCCACAACATTCCAGAATGTTCCGGGATGTTCCCGAACGTTCCAGAACATCCCGGAACATCCCAGATCATTGTGGAACATTCCAGAACACTCTCGAATGTCGTGGAATGTTCTGGAACATTGTGGACCATTCGAAGCCTATTTTGTATAGGTGGACTACCCATTTGTGGGGGTATATAAAGCAAGATCCGTCGTGTGTTCGATCGTCAGTTTCTTATCAGTAACGAAGGGAAGAACCGAAAAAGAAGTGAAAATTCAAAGTAGTGCAGCGAGTGAATAAAAATAAACAGGGAAGTGTGAGTAATCAAAGTGATACAGTGACTGAATATAAATGAAAATAAAGTGTGAAAACTGTGTAAAGTGTACTTAGTGTCTTTGTTAATAAAAAGTTGATTTGATTTATATTTTATACAATGCCCAAACTTAAAAGAGGAGGAGCTCTTGCCAGTTCTGAATTTACTTTTGAATATTAAAGTTGATATCGTCGATTATATTATTTTTAGTTGCCAAAATTGCCCTTTGAAATAGCCACTCCGGATTAGTATAGTTGTGAACAATGTTTGGATAAATTTGGTCGATGAGTTCGTTTTCAGTAGTGGCTATGTTGCAAAATCACAGTTGAGGTCAATAAGGCCGGTCGTCTGAGTGGGATATGTGCCTTCGCTTATTTTTAAAAGTTTTTGAACAAAATGTTGTTTATAATCAAGTGTTGTAAATAGTTAGAATATGTTTTCAATAAAATTTTTTACCTCTTATATTTTAAAGTTTGTGTGGTAGTTGGAATAAAAGGATAATCTCATATCAACTCCTTGAGCGAAGCCGGGTACTCCAGCTAGTATACAGTATTACAAAAGTTTTAAAAACTTTGGAGAGAAAAATGAGTAGTAAAGTATTTATTAAAAAGATATAAAATTTATATATTCTCCGTGCTCTGATTTCAGCGAAATCCATAAATGTATCATCAAAATCTAACGTTTCTCATATTTTCTTGATTTCTGTTGACAAACAAGAATTTGCGCTTCAGACAGCATATTTAAAACATAGTAACGAAGTTGCATTAGACAAATCACTGCAAAAAATTATTTTAATTTCGTTATATATATTACGATTATTACCATTCCTGAGTGCTAAATCTAAATTCATAAGGCCACCCTAGTTCATCATCTTTAATATAGAAATAGTCTAAAAGAAACCAAAAATACTCTTCAATCTGTACAGATTATTCCTTAATGTATTAATACTATTACTAAAAAATAGTTCTTACGGATATTTGTTTCAGTATTTCTACATGTATCCGTTTCTACATTTCTTCGTATCTTTACATTCTTTAAAAAACGAAAATGTTTACTTGATCTGATTGCTTTCAGTACAAAAGGATTGCCGCATTTTGAACAAATTTCATTTGCTATTTATTTTAATTTTAAGAAATTATTTTCTCTAAAGTTTTTAAAATAATCTATTAATCCCTTCAATAGTGACATTGCAAAAGTTAAATCGGTGTTAATTTTTTTCTGTTTGCTGCTAATAAAAATATTATACCAAATAACCGCTAATACCACATAACCGCTTATACCACAAATTTAAAATTATAGTAATTTCGAAAATTCCAAGTTTTTCAATTTTTTTATGGAATTTTATCGCAACAAATAGTTTTCGCGCCATTTTTGTCACAGCTATTAACATTAATATTAAATTCTTTGATGTTTAGGTATTTTAAATTATTACCATTGTCTATTGTATAAATTCTTAAAAATATAGTGAAGAGAATTGTTTGGTTCAATATATTTCGAATGGAACGTTATATCTAATTACCGTGAAAAAGAGAAATGGCATAAAAAATCAAAAACTACACCTTATAAGGGTGGAGCCCCTTCACGCATAGAGCCCTGGGCAAGTGCTGTACTGTCCACGGTTTCCTGCCCAGTTGCATCTGTAAATTAACAGTTAGGTATGATGCTGCCGAGCCACCGAGACTTCACTGAAAGATATCGTGAAGTACAGTATATTTATAAATCGATTTATAGAATTTCGTAAATTCGATTTCCTTGAAAACGTTTAAGAATCGCACTTTCTCCTTTTGCTTGAATAAAAATTCATATCAAGACTTATCCACACAATATTGAAAACTGTGATCACCTCGTGACTTCCCTTCGTTAGTCTATTATTGTAATGTGGTTAGAATTTCCGACGGCAGGGCTAGACGCTAGTTTTAAAACTCGAATTGATTCGTTCGCTGCTGTGCGAAGTCATAAAGAAAGTATTTGAAAAATTTGAAAAACATTAGAATAACTAGCATAAGTTCTCGGAAACAACGAGAACCTTCCTGAACCTAAAGGTTCTTGATCCGTGCATTCGAACACTACCATATTTACTGGCATCACTTTGGATTAATTTATGTCAAAATTTATAATAAGATATTTCTTTCGTATGTAATAAAAACCATTTTTAAAAATGAACTTAACTATGCGAAATATATCTATTGGTTTAAGGAGAAAATATTAAAACAAAATTAAAATCTGTTGAAAACAGAAAATAATACGATACCGTGCGATATCTGTTTACACAGGTTTTGCTGTACATTAATTATTGGTAATTCTAAATAAATAAATTATACGTCAACATTAAGAATATAACAGTTTATTCAATACACTAATGTTGAAGATATGGTAATTACCTCATCATCCAAAATTAACCTTCAAAGAAAAATAAATCTCGCAAATCAATATTTTATTCAGATAAGAATGAAAATTAATCCTGATAAAACTTACATTATGATATTTCGCAAAGGTGGAAAATTATCTAGAAAGATCTTCAGTTTTATTTAATAAAGAATAAGTTAAAGTTGATCAACGAGGAAGCTTATTTAGATGTACTGTACATCATCGCTTTCATTTTATAAAAATTTTCAATGTACTAAAATAAAAGCAGTAAAAATAATAAATGATTTAATATATCTATTGGCTGTAATGAAAACCAATAAGTTCCAAAATAACTTTCAAATATTTTCTTGCATAGTCATAACTTCTATTTGTTATGCATTCCGAGTTACACGGTTTGGATTGGCTAACTCATTTTAAAATATACAGTTAATATACTGTATATAAGAAAATTTTGTTTGAATAAGGTTCGCCTGATTATACCATGCGACATAATGTGAATAGATTAAGGATAGACCTTTGTTTGGTAATTAGGATTAGGAAATTTTACAAAAGAATTAATAATAGTGACAATATAATAGTCAGAAATATTTTGGATGAACTTGAAATTAGCTATTAAAATAGCTCAGCAGGAAAATGGTTATAACAACAATTGTTTCGACAAATTCAGTTCAATTTTGTCTGCCTATGTTAGCTCTTACATTTTATTTAACTTGGATGAAGAAGACTAGAAATTAGTTTACGCAAATTTACTAAACAATGTGTTCAATATATCAGATAATAAGGAAATGAAGTGTCAACAAAATTCCAAATTTTATAGTTGGTGTATAAATAACCTGAGTTTTCTGCCTTTGAATAGTTATCTTTTACCAAATCCCATTTAAAATAAAAAGATTCTCTAAGCAGTTAAGATTGAACAATTTCAATGTCATGATTGACTCAATTTTTTGAAGATGAAAGATTGTACATGTAAAAAATATCAAATATTACATTCACAAGGTAAATGGAAAATTTTCTATTTTCCATTTATCTTGTGAATGTAAAGAAATAGAAGAGGAAGTGTGACATTACATTTTTGAGAGATTGAAACTCGATGGATGGTTTATATTCTAAGCTACTTCAAGTAAGTCCAACGCTGATTCTGAAATTATATAAATTCTTTTCTGAATATGTTACTTTAAAATAAAAAAAGGGACCCCTGTTAAAATGCTATCGTTTGTCATGTTACCTTTTAACTAAATAAATATATCTGTATAAATTATATAATATTTTTAATTTGTATTATCGTCAAATTTATAGAATAATGCATTCCTCCTTTAAGGAAGTAAATTCTCTATTAGGATAAAGAAACGAGTTTATTTGATTTGAATATTAATAATATCTTTTTATTTTGAAATAAATTATTCTGATTTACGTTATTTTATTTTAACACGATTTAATATTATCACCAATGAAATTACACTAAAATTAGTTCATTTTTTTATTGTTATTAAATTTTTAGCCAAGAATCTCATCTCAAATTGGCACTAAATTGAATATAAATTCTTGAATTCAAACTGTAAAAATTATATAAAGTCACGTGATTTTGTGATCGAAATTCCATTTGCATTGTAAAATCGTACAGTAAAATATGAAATTAATTACATATAAATTAATAATTGCGAGATAAATTATGAATATGAGTGCAAAAATTATTATTTTTTAATGATTTCTTACTCTGTTGGTTTACCAGAAAAAATATTAAAAAAGTAAATTTTGTATTCAAAAATTATAACATTTTAATCATTTAAAGAAGTATCTTATACACTTTTAGGAACATTTCTTGTTCTAATAATTTGCTATTCAACATATATAGGGGAGACATTGGATTAATTAATGGAGTAAGGCAACGCAACACATGAGCGATCTGCGAAGGAGAGATACCTCCGGAAGGATGTTCTAGGTATTAAATACACGAATAAAATCCGGAAAACTTCACGTAGTAACTCGATAATCAGACGCAAAACCGAGAG